AAGGTACCAAACCCAAAGGAGATACCACACCCAGAGAAGGTACCAAACCCAAAGGAGACACCACACCCAGAGAAGGTACCAAACCCACAGGAGACACCACACCCAGAGGAGACACTGCATTCATAGGAGATACTACAGCCAGAGGAGACGCCACAGTCAGAGACACCACATCCACAGGAGAAATCGCATCCATAGAAGACACCACATCCAAAGGAGATACCACAGGCATACAAGACATCAAACCCAGAGGGGACATCACGCTTAGCAAAACCACGCGCAGGACTGAAAGCACCGTCCCAGACTTGGCTTGTTATAGTGGAATTGCGTCAAGTTTATTTATAAGAGCAGAGATACAAGAGAGGGGCAAAACCACACTTCACATTCCCCAGCAGGGCATTTCTGGGGTGGAGGTTACCGGCTCTTCCTTTCCACGCAGCTTAAAGGGACAGTCCTCATCGTCAGAGTCATGCAGGTCCACCACCACACCAGGGTGCAGGCACTGCGGGGAGGTACGCTCATGAAGAGTAATGCACCAGGGCGTGACCAGGAAGCCTGTCTGTAAGCGACCTGAACCAAGAGGTTCTACTGGAACAACCTGGCTTTCAGTGTTTCCGCTGTAACAGGCCAAAAGAAACATACTACACTGTAATTGGGGAACACCAATCAGGCTACTGCGCCTGAAACGCCAATTAAATAGAGCGTTAAAATGATAGATGTGGGCGAGAGCTAAACTGATATCCTTAGAGAATTAAACTGACCAAGAAGCGAAACTTGTCCCTGGTCTTCCGTCACCTGAAGTTGTGACATAAATCATTCATCATTCTCTCTGTCATTCATTCTGTTTTTAGCTCCCGGTTTTTATCTCTTGTTTAAACAGTGCAGCAAACCTGCACGTAAAACCAGGAATCCAAATGGTAAAATCACCCTTTCTAAATATCGGAAAACACTTCTCACCATGATATAGCTATAATGCAGTTATAATCTCAAGAACGAAGAATAAACAAAGAACAAAATCAAACCGCTACAAAACAACACTCCTCAATACGCCTACATTCATTCGTCACTGGATCTCTCAGAGATCATATCTGGGCATTCAATTAGAGTCACCTCTCTCCACATTCCCATTCACCCATCACTGGATCTCTCTGAAATGATCTTGAAATAATCCTTTAATCTGAGATTGTTCAATCTGCCAAAACAGGGACAAATGGCCATCCACAGGTGGTCCCCAGTGATCCTCCGGTCTAGTCCTTCCACAGTATGTATGGACAGCTCTGTACACACCTCATACACATCATACGCATAACAGACAGGCAGAGCAGGAGAGCATTGGGCATACACTTGATCTCTTTCCAGTGAATCCTCAGGTGCAGTGTAGGTGCAGTGTACGTATATGACCACTTTGTGATCTCTAAAGCCAAATGCACTGGCCACTACTCACACTGCCAGCCTCCAAGATCAAGCTGCACCTCTAGAAGGTTACAAAGCAGAGGCAAAATGTCATACAAGTGAGAGAAGTGGTTGACCAGCATGTGTATCAGTTTATATAGTGGTAGAGATGATTGGTCAGAAGGCCTGTCAGTCACAAGAGACGTTATTAGCCAAGTGCCTGTCAGTGACAAAAGTAATACAGATTGTTTGCTAGGGTATATATCAGTTTATACAATGCTAGAGATGATTGGCCAGAGTGCAGTGACAAATGTTATTGGCCAGAGTGCAGTGGTAGATGTTATTGGCCAGAGTCAAGTGACAGATGTTATTGGCCAGAGTGCCTGTCATTATCAAAAGTAGTGGAGATCATTTACCAGAGTGTGTCAGTTTATAGAAGGGTAGAAATGATTGGCCATAGCGTCTGTCAGTCAACAGAGTGACAGAAGTTACTAGCCACAGTGCCTGTCAGTGACAAAAGTAATAGAGATGATTGGCCAGAATGTGTATCAGTTTACAGAGTGGTAGCGATGATTGCTCAAAGTGCCTGTCAGTCACCAGAGTGATAGACGTTATTGGCTAGAGTACCTGTCAGTGACAAAAGTAATCAAGATGGTTAGCTAGAGTGCATATCTGTCAAAAAAGTGGTAAAGACAGTTCGCCAAAGTGGATATTGATACTGGATAGTAAAAAAATGGAAGAGGAGAAGCCATGTATGACTTTTGTGCTACTAAGGAGGAAGACAAGGAGGTAGCTATGACCCTATAATCTGTAATATAATGATTCATAATTCATGCACAGTAGTCACCAATGAATGCTGACATTATCAGAAGAGGACCTCCAGCAGAGCTTGGCTTGTGTATCATGTTATGTTGTAAAGAAAATAAAATGATTGAAATAGGAGCCTGAGATTATGGGGAACTTACATAACTGAGGTCAGGAACGTCGTTTTGGTCGACCCCAACTTGCTGTGTAAGGAAGAGCAGAAAGAGACATTCTGAAAATGAGAACATACAAGGTGGATCTGATTCAACACGAGGCTGGGGTCTTTACCTCAGCCAGCTTGAAGAACTCTGAGATCCGGGTCATTCGGGTTAAGAACCTCTTGTATATTTCCAGTCCGTCCTTGCATTCTGCCTTCTTCATTTTAAAATATTTCTCTGCACAAATACAAATTAAATAGATACATGAATATGTGGCCATGGCAGGGAGGCCCTGTGGGCGGCATGGCTGCCTCACACCTCTGGGGGGGGGCAGTTTGAGTTCTGCTCGTCCCCAGTGTATGTGCAGTTCCCCATTTTGTGTTCATTTTCTTCATGTACTTTGGTTTCCTCCAGCAACCCAAAGAAAAGTCCAGGGTGTGTGATCATGTGATCATGAGTGTGACACGGTCTAGCATCCTGTCCAGGGTGTACTGCTGACTTGTGCCCTGTGCTATCTAGCATAGGGTCTGGCTCCCCCCCCCCAAAAAAAACCCGATACTGAATAAGGCATTAAAATATGGATATATTTATTTATAATTTTTTTTAGATAGACTTTATTCGTCCCCATTGGGAAATAAGTTTGTGGTGTAATCGCAAGGCATTTCATCATAGCAGCACAAATTCACCAATGAGACATACTTATATACACAGCTATACACCAATAGGCATACTCATATGCATATACACATATACATACCCATACACATCACAGCATTAGAGGCACCAACAGGCATACACATACACATACCCATACACATCACAGCATTAGAGGCACCAACAGGCATACACATACACATACCCATACACATCACAGCATTAGAGGCACCAACAGGCATACACATACACATACCCATACACATCACAGCATTAGAG